AAATTATAAAATGTGAATCGGTTAGCGTGTAAATGTCTAGTGTTGCGATTAATAAAAAATCAAAAACCGTTTAATAATATAATGATTTCATATCTTAGAGAGTTAGAAGTACTACGGATTTGTTATATGGTTATATTTATATCAGTTTAGCTGTACCTATAAGCAATACACTTGTAATCGTGTAAACTTATAAATGATATAATTGACTAGTAGATTAGTACATAAATACAAATTACTTAATTAGATATGAGTTATGACTACATGAGTGATTGACTAATATGACTTTATGAGCAATTGTCAATTTAGCATAGCTGCATAACAGATTAGCAGCGTACTAGACTATCCTACTCGGTAATATATTAATACCATTTCAGTATTTGATCTATTAGACTCAAGTTAAAAGTTACTCTTTCTTATTAACTTGTTAGTCTAATTAAGTAATTACTAATTAGTGACTTAAGCCTTAGGGGTAAACCAGTAAAGAATATACAAAAATATAATAATCTTATGATTCTCATCCCTTTATACTAATAATATTTAACTATGAGAATATGAGATGGTTATATGTTATGTATCTGTATAATCGATTGAAAGAATCAATATTACCTTCTTCTTCATTAATGTTTTCTTTCATTATACAAATCAAACTACTCTGTAATATCTTCATATATAACTTTATGCAAATATATAACGATAAACGAGTCTTAATTATCAGTCTTGTTGACTAATTAAGTATTGAATACCAAATTGCAAATTTCGATGTCACAACAACTCATCAAATCATGATTATGACTCTATTAACTAAATGATCAAATAAGAAGCAGATAATATCTGGTAGTAAAACAATAATACATTAATGCACTAAACTTTTATAATCTACTTTGTAATAAACTAGTAAGATCAGTATGGCTAAACTTGAAACATAACATGATATGTATTTATAAAATTAATGAGAATTTGCATATAATATGATGCCTCAATATGAAGTGATGAAGTCTCGGCTTGATATAAAACTTGTTAACTAGCAAAAAGTTAGAAAATAGTATAAAATTTCAAACCAAAACTGTTTGATTGGCCGAATCCAAACGACTCGATAAAAAAACGAATTTTTAAAATCAAATACAGACCCGAACCGTAATTTAGTAAACGTGAAATAAAATCAATCCAAATAATGTTAAATCGTAGAAGAGCCGAACCCGTTAACAAACAGAACCAATTATAAACCGAACTAAAATTAAACTGAACCAAAAAAGAACCGAACCGTTTCTAACCCGAAACTGTTTGAACCGGGATAAAAACCGTTTACACCGAACCGTTAACAAACCGCAACCCGTCTGCACCGAACCGTTTACAACTCGAACCGAATTTAAACCGGGATAAAAACCGTTTACACCGAACCGTTAACAAACCGCAATCCGTCTGCACCGAACCGTTTACTACCCGGACTGTTTACAACCCGGACCGTTTACAACCCGAACCGAATTTAAACCGGGATAAAAAACCGTTTACACCAAACCGTTAACAACCGCATCCCGTCTGCACCGAACCGTTTACAACCCGAACCGAATTTAAACCGGGATAAAAACCGTTTACACCGAACCGTTAACAAACTGCAACCCGTCTGCACCGAAACGTTTACTACCCGGACCGTTTACAACCCAAACCGAATTTAAACCGTTCAATAATAAATCGAAATCGAATCGAACCGAAAATTATTAAAACCGAACTGAAACCGACCTGTAAGACATTTGAACCGATTTCAAACTGACCCGATTTCAAATCGAACCGATTTCAAACCGAACCGAAATCGAACTGTCAAACCGTTTTGACAGTGCTAGCTTTGACCCTTTGATTAATGATTTAGATAGTGATCTTAGTCATCTTATGATCTAAGATTTCTTTGGTTCATTACCAAATATTAAATGTTTAGCATCCTTAACAATGAACAATTAAAATTAAAATTATTTGTGTTACTATTTGAATAAAGTAATGTATAAAAAATTATGGAATGATGAATAGTGTCATGAACAAACGTCAATGGTTTTCCAAACCGTTAGTAAATTAAATACTTCCTCTGTCCCTATTTTATTGTCCTATTTGACTATACACGGTCTCCAAGACGCGTCTTAAAACGTTTATATCTTTATGTCCATACACGTGAAAATTATAAAAATGTGATATTAATAAAATATACAACGAACAAAATCTAACAAGACCACTCATGACTATATTATCATTTATAAATTAACGGTAATTTATGGTTAAAGTTTTCAAAGTTTGACCCGAAAAATGGCAATGGGGCAAAAATAAAGGGACGAGGGGTGTATGTATTTTAAATTTTAGTAAAAGATAAATTAAAATGGGGTAGGTGAATAATAACGTAAACAATTCTTTTTTTGGTTCATTGTTTAAAAGGAGGATGTTGGAAATTATTTGTTGGAAAGAGGAGGATGTTGGAAATTACTCCCTTCGTTTTTTTTATTTGCATCACTTTCCTTTTATGATTTTTTTTTATTTGCATCACTTCTATACATAGTAACTTTATATTATATTTTATTATTTCTCTCTCTTACTCTAAACCCCACTTAATTAATTTATCATTTTCTCTCTTATGGTCTCCACTACTCTCTCTCACATACTTTCACTTTCATGGTCCCCACTACTCTCTCACATACTCTCACTTTCATGGTCCCCACATTACTTTTACCATAATAAATTATTCATCCACTCACATTATTATATTATACCAAATTCATTCTCGTAAAATTTCGCGCAAACACAAGTGATGCAAATAAAAACAAAACGAAGAGAGTATTTATTTGTTTGGTTGATGTATATGAGAAAGAAAGTTTTTTTTTTTTTTGGCTCATGAATAAGAATGCTCCTACATGGTGGAGTATTGGAGTGTGGATTGTGGAGTGTTGACCCAGTACATTTTATACAACACTAAATGCGGACGTCTAGGCCGATTCATGTGGTTCGGATCAAATGCTAATAGATTGGCATAGGATTATACTAGGAAAATAGAGACGGGCATGGGTTGCGGTTATCACTTATCATGGCCTCATGGGATCAAAAAATATGATACCAGTAGAGTTAATTTAGCACAATTCTGTTTGAATTAACTTCAACGTAGGTACACTTGTGAATAAAAAAAATTGAGTTAAGGGAATGAAATGTTAAGTGTTTACCGTTTTTGCTAATTTAGGCCTAGTTTATTTCACCTTAGAAAAATAATATTCAGTAAAAATAATTTCAGTTCAGTATAAATAGTTTAGTAAAAGTAATTTCAGTTCAGTAAAAATAAGTTCAGTTCAGTAAAATTAATTTCAGTTCAGTAAATTTAATTTAGTTCTGTAAAAATCAGTAACTGTAAAAGAAGAAATATAATAAAGAATCGGTAAAAATAATTTCAGTTCAGCAAAAATAATTTCAGTTCAGTAAATTAATTTTAGTTCAGCAAAAATAATTTCAATTTAGTAAAAATAATTTCAGTAGGCCTTAGTAGAATTACAAAAGCAATGTAAAGTGTATGGAAAGTTATTACAAGAACTTTAATCAAGCTTATTAAATAAGGCAAATTCTAACAATTAAAATGCAAGCTGTCTATGCTAAAACTTGTGTTTGATTAATTAAGAAACACTCTCTTAGATGAAATGAAAAGTGATTCACAATTATCACATGTGGGCTTTGTAGCCTTCATATTACGAACCATCGTTATCATGGTGTGATAACGAGGTTTGAGACGTAATTAGTGTGGAGATGGCTTGATTTGCATAATTTATTATATTTTTCTACAACATGTTAAAAGAAAATATATTTTCTTCATATAGAGTTTTTTATAAAAAAAAAAAAAACACATCCTTACAAAAAAGTGTAGAAATATGAGATCGAGTATGAGTAAAAGTGATGTTTTTCTAACTCCGGGTTTGGTTTTTATGATTATTGGTCTGTTTTGTTCACCTTATTTTTATTTAGAAAAATTTGTGAGAAAGGTCCTTTTAAGTAGATCTTTTTGTTGCAAAGGTTTTTTTTTTATAAAAAAGATGCCACAAAATGTCCTTTTATCGTACTTAGGTTGTGGCGAGGGTCTTTTGACCGAATTCCGACAAATTACTTTTTTTTTTCCGACCAAAAAAGTCACGTGCCTTGCATGAAAATCTATTTTTCTCCCTTTCCCCCCTTTTCCCTTTATTAAACCCTAATTTCTTCATCATCAACCTCAACACGAACCCTATTTTGAGAAAAAAATCATCAAACTCTGATTCTAGTCCATCGCATTAAAATTGAAGGCAATTGAAGACAAATCAAGCAAGGTAAGGGGCGAAGGGGAATAAAAGGATTTTAAGTGGTCATGGTGACTTTTTTTGGCCAAAAAAAAGGTCAATGGTCGGAATCCGGTCAAAGGACCCTCGCCACAACCTAGATGTGATAAAGGACCTTTTATGCCACATTTTTTGTAAAAGGACCTGTACAACAAAAAGACCTACTTAAAAGGACTATTCTCACAAATTTTCTTTTTATTTATTAGACTTATTTTTGTTTGTTTTGTAAGAGAAAAAAATAAGTCTGTTCTTTTCAACTAAATTTTGAACTTATCTGAACTTATTTTTCTTAGAATAAGTAAATACTTTAGACTTTTTTTTTTTTTTTTTTTTTAACAAACTTAGTTATCCAATATAATACTACACTTAGCTGTATTCCCATGCTTGAAATTAAAACATTTACAAGATATTTTCTTATCTCCAATAAAAAGACTTCAATTATCCATATTGAGACATGCACAGAGTTTTCTATATAATTCACTTTGCTTACACAAAATAGCATTGTATTGCTTACCAAATTCATTCCAATCGCAACTTTAGTACCCCTTCTCTTACTAATTCAACTTCAATGGCTTAGTTTGTTATAACCTTTGCAACCTTCTATAAGGAGGTCTTGCGATCTATTGTAGTTTTTGAATTGAACATAACTTGACCAATTCGGAACACGGCGCACAATCATACACATACCATAAAATACTCCAAATTCGGAACATCAAGTACAAGCTTGCACCCTAAGATACTACTACAGAAAAACGTATTCAATTTCAATATACGAAGAGAATTTGAAGATATACTAATGGGAGTTTCAGGACTCAAGGAACCACATAGAGTCATGTACTCAAGAGACGGACAACTCGAAACCAGCCTAGTCAAAGAGTCATCAACCGGGAAGCAAACTACAGAGATATGCAACTCTTTCAAGTTAGGCAAACACAAAGACGAGGGGACTTCAAGATCAAGATTCACGTCGAGCTTCAACACCTCGAGTGTTCGACAATTAAAGATAGCCGAGGGCAGCTTATCAGCAGGTTCCCTTACACGAATATGAATATCGAGCTCTTTAACCCCTCGAGTTGAGGGATATGTTATCCATTCATTAACATGTTTAGGTTCCAATTCGGGGTAACAACAAGTATCTTAACAATAGCCTACAGTCCCTACATTACAATCCAGATTAGTTTTCGCAAAGTGAAGTCTAAATGTGGTGGTAATTGTCGACTGACATGCTTGCAATACGTTATCAACAAAACATCTTGAAAGTAGGGAAAAGCTCGATCAAGTGTGGATGTTCCGAACAATGTTATATAGGGGAGTCGTCAAAGTCGAGGCGTGTTACCCCGGTGAAAAGCCGCCTCATCGCCTCGATAAAAGACTAGTTGCAACGACATCCTTTGTGGGAAGGTATGAAAGTATGTTGTCTAATAAAACATGATCAGGTAAATTACTGATCCTATCTTTAACTGCATTATCTTCATCCCTTTTTCGTTGTTTTCTACACCTGAAGCAAGAAAGCATGACACTTCCAATGAAAACTAGAATTCTCTCTATCTTGTTAAAAAACCAATCAAACAAAAGTCGAAGAATTACCTCAACATTGCTTTGGAGTTGGATTTGAGATCAAACATAGGATTTGAATCAAAAGAAAATTTACAGCGTTTATTGTGTATGATTAGAAAAAGTGGAGTTGAATTCTTGTATGCTTTTTGGTTGAAGAATATGGAAATTGGATATTAATTAACAAAATACAAACAAATAAACAAGAACTAACCCTTGTCTTAAACATGGTGTCACGTTCTTCAAAAAAAAAAAAAAAAACATGGTATCACATGCCTAATATTATTAGAAAACTCTTTTGATATCAAACTTCTATCTTAACTTTGACTTCTAAATCAAGTTAATTTGCACCTAATAAACAGAAAAAATATCTTATGCAATCATTATATATTCTGCAAATTTACGTGGTACACCAACTACCCGTTGTATGAGATACTAGCCTTTTTAATAAATTTTGTACCTTTTAAGCCAATTATAAGTGGTTATATGCTTCTAATGCTAAGGATACAAAGGTATTTGTTCTTTTAAGGTGAAGAAGATATTGAGTATGTTTTTATCGTATTACTCAATTCATTTTTATTACGTAATAAAAAAAATAACATCCAACCTGTAATTGTCATTAACGAGTGTCCTTATTAACACATGCGTTTCGAAAATCTTGGTAGTAGTTTATGGCCGAATGTGCATGAAAAATAAATTTTTAAAAATATTGGACAAATATAAAAGGATATTATTATGAAGAAAATGGAATTTGAAACGAAGGGAGGATTATAGTTAATACACAATCAACTGTTCACGATGCGTTAAAGAGGTAGCAAGTTAGCAACACTTGCATGTTCTGAGATATGAACAATAATACACAATCAACTGTTCACAATGCGTTAAAGAGGTAGCAACACTTGCATGTTCTGAGATATGAACAATAATAGGTCCAAGCAGTCGAAATCTCAGAAAAGGAGCTGAATAAAGAGCAACAACAACAACAAAGCTTTAGTCCCAAAAAGCTGCATAAAGACCAACGGAATAATATGGATACAACAGTCACTAATTCCACATATATACAAGGCAGCAAAGATCAACATTGGATCCCCATAGACAGGCACAAAGCTCATATAGTTTTAGGCCACCCTCGCGCTGTAGATTCTATTTACGTATCATGCACCTCGTGGTAGATTGATCATAAAGTACTTAAAGTTGTCCTAAAATAAGTAGTGTCCGTGTTTAAGAGATAAGACTCGTAAGAATACTAAACTGTGTTGTTCTGACATGTGAATATAGTGGAATTGGAACCAATAAGTTTTGAACTGTAAAGATTGTACTCGCTCAATAATCTTTCTGTTCTGTACTAAACTTATGTACTGTAGGAAGTAATGCACAGAAATCATGATTTTTTATATTTAATGATTGATATATAAAAATAATTAGCAAAGATTCAGGTATGTAAACATTCCCCCCACCCCCCCTCCAACAAAAGAGAGAAAAAAAAAAGTCCTCGAAAATATGATAATACGGGAACACTGGACACATGCTTCAGCGTCCAATCACACTGCTCGACCTAGTATAAATGACAGAAAACATAAGAAATGGGATAAAAGGGGGAAATTAGGGCCGAGGGATCTCAACAAATAAAAGGGAAGGAAAAAAACATCAAGATACTGAAGATGGTACTATAAGTCCATAACACATAAAAGACAAGAAAATGTAGCAGTAAAAACAACTGCATTTGTAAATACTTGAGACAGGATTACCAATTGAAGCAAATTTCCATGAACCTTAAAAAAGACCAAAAGGTACGTTAGGGCGGCAGTTTTCTTCTGATAACCAGGCAATGTATAAGCTACTTATATAGTTGTATTATAAGTTTTTCAGATGTATTATCTCGCATATGCATATCTACATATCATAGATAACCAACATTGGTCCAGGAATTGCTAATTGTTTCACACCTCTAACAAACCAGAAAACAATCACATCAGCTATGATTGAGCCATTTTCACCATTTCATACAAGAGAGCATTTGACACCCTACTTGTCAATTGAGAAACAGAGAAACTTGAATAAGCTGCACTAAAGTTATTCCCATGAAAATTTCATAAACATAATCATATTGACATAAGACTTGCCAATATGAACAAAAAGACCGACTACACCTGCCAGATCAATTCAGAGGCTCGGCAGAAAATTACCTGAAGTTAACTAGTGTTAACAATGAAACATACAGTCTACCAGCAGGGCCACTTTGCTTTGCTTGACAAATTCCTTTTTTCATGCTTTCACTCAGCACATCTACTTCTGCTTGAACTTAGTAGCTTAGCTAATGGGAGAAGTTTCTGGAAAATGGAGAGCAAGGAAGGGGGGAAAAAGAAAAGAAAGAAAGACCAAAGGGGAAAATAATTTTTTTTAAAGAAAAGGAAAAAAAGAAAAGAAAAAGAAGTAAGGCAAAAGGTATTGGCATAAGCCAAGCACTGGTGAACTCAAAAGCAATATGGCTATAAACCTTCATATATAGAGCAAATATCTATAGATAAGCAATCTTCGACAACACCTGTCAATCCCATAATACAAAATAGACTCTCCCTTGACGGCATACCTCAGTTAAAATTCACAGAACATGTCCTTCCAAATTTCACTTGGAAAAGTTCTAACAGAAGCCTCCATTGTGAAGTCAGCACCTGTGCATCAAATGTAACAGACCCAGCACCCGGGAGAAAAGGGAAGAAAAAAAAGTAAAAAAAAAAAAAAAAAAAACAGAGAGAGAAAAGACCTAAGATCAGTGACACTACAAGGAGAGGTTCAATGACCACCCATCATAGACACAAGTAAAAAAAAAAATGAAAAATAAAAACAAACTAAACAAATCTCAAAACAGCTATTTAACATTTTACCAGAAAACACACAATGGAAAGAAATCTAAAAGCTGCCAACCAGATAGCCCATTTCTCTATCATGCAAAATCTTACCAAAGACATGAACAACAAAACATCTCAAGATTATTTTAGGATAAACTCAGATTAAAAAGACATAATTGTCCTCAATTAATACTGCAAGAAATTCGTTTCTGCTTTAGCAAGAGAAAGTTAACATACACTTTATATCAAAGAACCTTGCTACTAACACTGGACGTTGACATTGCATAAAGGAAGATAAAAAGGCTTGACAAGTCACCAACAAAGAAACCATTGCTCTCTTTCACCTCCATCATACCTGCAAAAAAAGAGGCAGCAAGGCCAATTTGTGTAAAGAACAATATCATCAGAAACCTCTGGGCACTGAAACAAAATATAAGCAAGCCACTGCTCATCCGCAAGTTCAGAATTCAAACATATTGATCCTTCACTAGCTTTTGCCTGAGGCCAAACTGTCACTGCCATGTGAAGAAATTTGAAGAAAGATGTGATCCTCAAGCTTCAGAACCATTTTCCTAATATGAAGACAGCTTGTAGCTTAGGTGAGCAACCCCACATGAATATCTCTCCAAGGCAGTAAATCTGAAATTTTTACTGTCCGTAATGCTTATCAACATTAACCTCAACTAGGCCATGAGTAACTGCAGTTAAAGAATCTGAATGAGCTGATTATTGACTTCTCAATTATCACCACCTGTAAATAAAATTTTTAATATTTTTTAGCAAAAAGCGCAAATTTATTAGAACTTCAGACATAGAGCATAAATTTTTGAATTTTGATGTACTTCCTCCGTTCTCTTTTAAATGCAACACACTTTTGCACAGAAACTAAGAAAGTGGACTTGGGTGAGTCCCATGTGACTTAATTCACTTAATTAGTCCTTCTAATTACCAACCCCACTCAATAACTCCATCCCTACCAACTACTAAAACACCTCAACAGTCACAGTAACCTCCACCACACCGCCACTGCATAAACTGTTGCCGCCGTTACCACCACCACTAGCGGTCTAGCGCAACCACCGTCACAGCACCACACACGTCTTAAAATTGACGAAAAAAAATTTAAAAATTAATAGCAGAATGCTAGATCAAATAAATTTAAAGAAACAAAATTAGCTCTAAGAGAAGACAAATTAAAGAATGAAGTGAAAGAATTTTAATCTGGACAACCCACAATCATCCCCACCGCAACTACGATCTACACCCCATCCAAAATTCCGCCCTTATTGCCCTCCCCTATTTTTGGCGTAATGGGTAGTAGATCTTGAGGTGTGGCGGTGATTTGGAGCTAGATTGTGAGAAGAATGGTGGTAATTTTGAGAATATCACGATTTTAGTGTTATGGGTAGCAGATCTTGAGGTGTAGAGGAGGTGGATGGGTTTCAAGGTTTGCAGATCTGGTGGTCAAAGTGGTGGGGGAGTCGGTGATCGAAGTAAAAGTGTTGGTGGTGGTGTCGGTGGGCTCGACGAAAGAGGTGGTGGTGGTGTCGGTATGTGTGGTGAAATGTGAAAGTTGGATGGTGTCGATGGGAGTGGTGGAGTGCTGGTGATGTCGGTGAGAGAGATGGTGGTAGAGTCTGGTGGAGGTGGTGGTGGTGGTAGGTGGTTATGTATGGCAGTAGGGTGGTGGAACTTTAAAAATGGAGAAATGAGGGGTTGATGAGAGAGAAATATAGAGTAACATAAAAGGGGAGTGGGTAAATTAATCAAATCTAACAGTGAAATGAGTAAGAAAGTAAAAGTATTAGGCTTTAAGGGTAAAACAGAAAATTCACTCAAAAAAACTTACCATTTATAGTGTGTTGTATTTAATATGACATTTCCATTTATGGGAAGTGTTGCATTTAAAAGAGAACAGAGGAAGTATATTTTACCGCGTCCATCAGCATTTATACAAGTCTAGGGTATCAGCCAAATTACAAAAGCAGCGGTATCTGAAACATTAGATAACTGTATGCCAAAGCCCCGTTGGCTCCCCTCCCCACCACAAAATAAGAAAGAGGAAAGATAAAAACAATAAATTATAAATTATTTTTTTTAAAAAAAAGGATAAAACAGGGATGTAGACATGCAGATGAATGAAAAAAGGAAAAATATACAAACTAAATTTCACCTTCTCGCTCAAAAGAGTAATCAGGCTCAGCGCCAATGTTGTTATTTTCAGCAAAGGTTTCTGGATCACAATTAGACTGGCTCTTAGAGTTTTCCGCAACATCAGATCTATCGGATTCGCTTTCATAAATTGCAGCTTTCATTGACTTGCTTTTATCACATTCAGATCTTTCACTCTCAATGATAGAGTGGTTCTTTCCAGAACAGTTGCTACAGGAAGTTCCATCCCTGAGGTCAGTTGAATTCCTGGAACTTTTTTCGCCGTCGTCTTTTACATACTTTCTGCTATTGCGGTCTAGTTTATCGTTAATGCTTCTGCTATTTTTCCTTTTCTCTTTGACTTCAGGAGACTTTGATCTTGACCGTCTTCTATGCTTATACTTCAATTTGTCCTCTCTATGCCGAGAGGACTTGCTGCCTGTGTGGGATTCGTGTTCTGCTGATAATGACCTGGAACGCCTCCTGTCACGATGCTTCCGTTTTTCTTTCCTGCCTTCATCCTTTATTCCCTTACGCTCAACATCATCTCTAATAGATTTGGATGTTGAGTGCCTGGATATCTTAGATTTATTCTCATCCACTGATTGAGAGGATGTCTTCTTGCACATTTCTTTGACATTTGAAGTGGATCTAATTCCTTCCCTGCATTTTGGTTCTTCTTTTTCATCAACAGGCTCACCTTCTTTCACCTTCAAATGATCCTTAGTGTCCATTGATCTTGATCTTGATCTTGATCTTGACTTTGAGCGCTTTCTATGAGTTGTTAAGTTCTCATCTGAACTTTGGGGGGACAACTTTCCACTCTTATCATGCTTATTTTCAGATGATGCAGACCTAGAACGCCTCCTACCACGATACTTTGCCTTCTCCTTGCCTTCATCAATTCTCTTACTCGACTTGTGCCTATCCTCTACAGATTTAGACCTAGATCGCCGATGCTGCTTCAACTTTCTGTCTGCATCATTAGCAGGGGAAGATCTACCTCCTTGGTGAAGTCCTGGTGATTTGGAGCGGTGACCAGAACTCCTACAATGTCGAGGTTTTGGTGAATCTGAACGGTCTCGATACGATCTCCTCCCTCGAGGACTAGGACTCCTACTCTTATTCCTTTTGAAATCAGACACATGATAATCACGTGATCCTTTCGAATCTCTCCTTCCAGATCTATCACTAACATCTCTATATGACCGCCTATCATATTCATAGCCTGTATAGTGGCGATACCTTACTGGAGACCTAGATCTATGATCTCGAGAATGTCTTATCTGAGGAGAAAAAGAACGAGATCTATGGCGAGACCTTCGAGGAGACTTTGATCTCCGACCACGAAAATGGCGTGCAGGTGAGAAAGATCGAGATCTACGTCTTTTACCATAACTAATAGGTGACCGTGACCTTGACTTGGACTTAGACCTTGCAATAGAAGGTGATGGAGATCTGCAATAGAAAAAATCATTAAAAGCAACAAAAGAAAACTGTGGTACCAAATCGGCCAATGTTAACTTCTGTCATGTTCACTAAGTGTATGGCAGGAGAAATTTCCTTTCATCTACCAATTAACTTTAAAACAGCACATGATATACATGTTACATGACGCACAGCTAGAGCAAGAACAATCCCAACAGTATACAGATATGAGCACAAGATTCACGACAATAATAACACATACGCAAACAATCAGCCAAAGCACAGCCATTCCCACAAATATTGGCACATGTCAAAAACAGAAATATTCCTAACAAACTGCACCATCAACAATCCCCCAGGTTGTCAACTTCTACATTTATGTAGATGACATCTAATCGTATCAGAGAAACCAGCAAGCACCAGGAAAAATAAACAAAACAGCACGACTAACTCCCAAGTCATACCTAGATTTTTTCTCTGGCTCTTTTTCATCAATTACAAAACCATCAGCCCTCAGTTTCTTTGATATTTCTGCAGCTCTAGCTGATGCTAAATCTGTAGCAGACTTCACTGTAGCAGCACGGCTGGCTGCTTGCTGTGCGGTCATTGTCTGCTGCATCAGCAATGCTTGCTGAAACTGCATCTGCTGCATGGCTACTGCTTGCTGCATCATGATTGGCAAGGATGAAGCTGAAGAACCAGCAGGTTTCTGAGGAAGTGATTTTGCCATCTCAACATTCAAGGGGCGGCCACAAACATCCATGTTATTGAGAGCAAGCGCAGCCGTTGCCTCTTCAGCTTTTGCATACTCTATGTAAGCAAAGTGCTTTGAGTCAGTGATGGTGCAATCCACCACAGTACCACAAAAGGCAAAAAGTTGTTTCAGGTGTTCTGCTGTGAGAAGAGGATTGAGGTTGCTAATTTGGACAGTTTTCTTCAACACATCAGCTTTATTATCTGCCTCACATGCACCTGCACATAGTTGCTAGTAACATCAGAAGGATCCCCATAAAAAAATATGTGATTGTATATAAATGTTTACTTTTGTGGGGTGTGGATGGAGGTGGGGCTGGAGGAGAGGAGAAAAGATATTAAATGTGAGAATAGATGATAATATACTCATTAAGCATTAGCATTGACAATTCGTTTCTGATGTTGAGAATATAAACTACTTTATGTTGGCAAGAAATATTACTATTTAGCACACTTATTTTGAGCAGATCACCAAGTTCTATTTACTAGCTTCTGAATGTTGTTTCAAAAGAAATTCTTGGGATTAATATACTGCTAGTATACACTAAAGCCTAAAGAAAATAATGAGATACAAATATAAATGTTTTCTGACCTACTAGAGCACAAAAGTAAACATTTATATTTCTCAGATATTTGCTCTAAACCATCATCCCTCAAAAAAAAGGAAACTTCTTTAAAAGAGGTTTTTTTTTTTGGGGGGGGGGGGGGGGGAAGGATATTAGTAGCAATGATAGAAACATGTAGATAGTGATAAGTGAATATAATGACAGTGATGACAATGATGATAGCAATATTCAAAGAAACAAAATAGGGAACGGGGGTCAAGGGAAATGGGGTAGAGTGCAGTACTGGAAGAATCTTTAGACAGCTTAGATTGAGCCTGTAGCTGAGCAGTATGGGCTTGAAGAGCCTGAGCAGCCATGATTGCTTGTGCTGCAGCCATTGCAGCAGCAGAAGGTGCCATTGGCACTTGGCTCATGGTTCCCATGGTAGAGGTTGCAGCTATTGCACTCATGAGCAAGTTGTGTGTGGGGTGGGTAAACTTGCAATCTGTTTTGAAGCACCGACCATTAAGAAATTCCCTACATACTTCCCCCAAGGAAGCTCCAATACCAGGCAAAATCACCCCACCGGAAGGGCCAGGAACAAGTCCAGGAATCATCCCAACCAGACCAGGAAATGCCCCAGAAACAGAACCAGCATAGTTTGGCATGTTTGGCATATTAGCATTAACAAGGTTTGGATATGACACTGTAGGAGCCACACCAAGCAGTCCTCCATTCGAACTTCCTGTAAAATGTATGACACACACCATTCAGCAAAGACATATAAGGAGTACAGCAAATAGCTCATATCCAGTCCAAAAAAGGAGTACATATAGACACCTAACCAGTGCATTAAAAAACTCCAGCTTGTAACACAATAACATTACTATCATAATAAACATGAGCCCAATTATGAATAATAAAACAAAATAATATGCACATGCAACAGTTGACAAGCAACGAGTAATTCTACACAATTAGCAGATTAATTTCAGCTGCTCCCTAAGAGAAAGCTCATATTTAGCCAACAAAAATCAGCAAAGTCAATGACAAGAAAATAGTCATGCTGATGGGATGTAATCAGACACCTCCCTTTGTCGGTTTGTCCCTCTTTCATCCCCCCACCCAACCGAAGTTATAAATCTTCAGATGTGAGCAATGATATCAACAAAGATTTTAGTTAATTAAGTATGCGATACAATGCACTAAGTTCATCACTTTAATTTCAGAAGGACATTCCCCCACCCACCCATCCACCCCCAACTCGAAATTAAAGTTTTCCAGGTGTAAACTATTACGAGTAAATATAAACAAAGAGCTTAGTTAATTACTAAGCATACACATTTCAATGGGGCATAACTTAAATATCAGAGGGACATTGTTCCAGTTTCCTATTCCTTAGCTGAAGAGATTGCACTCCATTTTCGATTGCTGCATGTCACCAACTAGAAGCTCCGAGTTCAATAAAATAAAAGCAAAAAGGTGAAAAAGAAGTTACCTGCACTGAAAAATACAGGAAACGGGCTGCCCATGATAGGCCTCCCATTGCATTCCACATGGACCATATAATTTCCTCTCTTAGGGACAGCATAGGTAACCGTATACGTCCCATCACCCAGGTCCTTCACAATCCCGTCAATGTCTGAACCTCCGACCCCTACTCCCGGGGTAACCTTAACCTTAACCTGAGCATCCCCTTTCGGGATCTTTCTCCCGTCTGAATCCTTGGTAATCAAATTAAATGTACAAGGTGAGCCTGCCGACCCGCCAGAAACTCCAGCACCAGCTGCAGTACACTTGGAAGGGTCAACTGGCCCAATTGGCTTGTTCACGAGATCTTCCGCCTCGTCTTCACTGTCCGAAGATAAATCAAGAGCCTTAGGTTTGCTCTTGTCCACATCCTTGAAAGTAGCCTCAAAAGCCGCCTTGGCAGCCGCAGTTTTCTCCGCTTCACTCTTCAGCTTTGCTTCCTCAGCCTGTCTCGCCCAAATTGGCCGAATAGCCACCGCATTCCGGTCAGCCATCAAACCCTAATTACCTACAATCTCAGAAAATTAAAAAAAAATCCTAAAAAAAAATCAATTGCCCCAATCATAGAATCCAAACCCTAGTTACCAAGAATTCCAAAAATTAGAAATCGGCTAAGTACGTAAACCTGACCTAGTAAAAAATTAAAGTTAACCATGAATTGAAATTGCAAGCATGTAAATCATATTGCCGAATAACATAAAATTCCATACCAATTAAAAAGAAAATAATCAATAAGTCAAATTAGCCTCAACTGAAGATAAAATGCAGAAAATTAAGCATACAAAGATATTCAATTAGCCCAAGTTTTAGCTTAATGTGTCAAAAAAAAAAAAAAAAAAAAAAAACAAAGTTGGGAAACTGGTAAAGTTGAAAGATGAATACAATTGAAAGATTGAGAAGAGAGAAAATATTAAAAAGAAATACCAGGTTTTGAAGAAATACAGTTGATTGGGAGGGATGATAGAGAGCGAGAGAGATCTGCGAGAGCCAAGAGGCTTTTGATTTTTTGGGAGGGGGTGTGTAAATCTTTATGCAACTTACCTAAGTATGATTAAAATATGTAGAGGTGCATGAGGTGGGCACGGGCCGGGTTGGCCTACGGGCGGCCCGGCCCGGCACAAAGTTTGACCAGACACGGCACGGTCCGTTTGTTGGCCTGGCCTGGCACGGTGGTCGTCTGGCGTGCCGTGGGCCGTGCCACGGACAGTAGTTGCAATTTTCCGGTACAGCACGGCACGAGCCTGCCCCTTGGCCCGCGTGCCAGCCTGCTTTATGATCGTTGCTCAACATCTCTAATGGAGACCATTGCTCAACGTTCTTCTTCCTCCTTAGTTTCCAACGGCTACCTCCCCTAAAATTCTATAAATAGCTCCATCTTCTTCATTCCTAATCACAAATTCACAATCTCTTCTCTTAATCTCTTATATTCTCTAATAATTCTCTTAATCTCTTAAATTCTCTAATTATTATCTCTTAATATCGAAAAAATTAAAAATTCGTAATCGTAATTAGTGGAAAGCGTTGAAGCACGGTTGTAAGATCTAAATTAATCTTTAATTTATTATTGTTGTTATTATTATTGTTATAATTATTGTTATTAATTATTATTATTGTTATTATTATTGTTATAATTGTTGTTATTAATTATTATTATTGTTGTTATTAATTATTATTATTATTATTGTTAATTAGTTATTATTAAAAAATTTAATTTGTTAATTATAGCATCACCAAACACGAACAACCCATCATCCTCTAGGAAAGCCTAATTTGTCTGTGGTAATAGTTCTAGTGAATCACCTAATCCAATGACCCCCGCAATTTCGAGTCTGACTAATGACTCCGGAACCGCCCCCCTAGGTTTTGAGCAATATAGGCATGGTGGTACTTCCGATTTTCAACCCTAAAACATGAATATGCCCGGATTTCTACAAACCCAATTTCCACAAAACCAATTCCCACCACAAAACTAATTTCCACCACAAAACCAATTTCCACAATTCAGTCAATTCCCACCTAATTTCTTTGACCCACAAAATTTTTATACTAGCCAAGGTAACGAACAAGATACCCCAAATGCCTCCGGTTGTACTACTAACCAACAAACCCCCGAATCTACAAACACTCAATTCCCAAACACACAAGAGCAATGGTTAACCGAAAGTGACATGGTAAATATTAAAAGCCGCAAAAGTAATGTATGGAATTATTTTGTGCTAAATAAAGCCCAAACAAGAGCAAAATGTAAAACATGTGGTAAAATATACTCGGCAAAATCCAAATCCGGGACGGGACACTTAAGTAGACACTTTAGAACATGTGCACAACCAGCTAGTGATCCAACCTAGCCAAAAATTTCCCAATTCCATCCACACGGCTTTACCTACAACTATGAGAGGGATAGGGAAGGGAAAATGATATTACACGCCGAACAACCTTTTCTTTTCTTCGAAAGTGACCCATTTAACACTTACATTAATAAAGGATTACAACCCCGACATAAAAGAATCTCTAGGAAAACCGTTCGTTCCGCCGCCATGAAAAACTCCCTTGAGTACAAAATGCGGTTACAAGACGAATTGAGTAAACTTAATTGTAGAGTGTCTTTGACTGCCGATTCTTGGGATAGTGGTTATAAATATCACTATTTATGTGTGACTTGGCATTGGATAGATGATCAATGGTTGTTACAAAAACGAATAATCCATTTCAAAATGCTAAAATACCCCCACACCGGTATTAACCTTGCTCCCATTTAATGGAAGCTATAAATGAATACAACATTAGAAAAAAAATCATGTCTTTGACATTTGACAATGCAACCTCAATGACATACACTGCTAATTATGTGAAACTTTAACCGATGTAATATTAGATGGTGATGCACTTCATACTAGATGTGTTTGCCATGTTCTTAACTTATGTGTACAAGATGGAAATTAGAGCAATTGGTCCATACTATAACAAAATTAGAGAAGCTATTATGTTTATTAATAGCTCAAACATGAGATACCAAGAATGGAAAAGTTTTCTAAGACAACAAAAGATAAGAGCAATAAAAATCAAAATCGATTGTCCAACTAGGTGGAATTCCACCTATGACATGTTAACCAAGGCAATTGAATATAAGAATCCTGTTTTTTACAACGGAAAATTTCCAAACAATGCTTTATATGAGGATGATTGGTATAAATGTGAAAGATATATGCAATTTTTACAATTATTATATAACATGACATTTTGTTTTTCTTCTGTTTATAATCCTTGTGCTCAAAACTTTCTTTCAAATGCATGTTTACTCGCTCAGCTTTTCGATGATCATCGCAACCAAAGTGATTATGATCAATATCTTCCTGCAACGGAAACAAAGTGGCATAAATATTATACTGAAATTCCTTTAATTTATATTTTTGCTTCCATATTAGATCCTAAGCAAAAGTATGAAAAATACATTTATGTTAGTTGACATTTATTTTCAATGCATGCTTATTGACTATAATGTAGAAACCTATAAGAGTAATATGAAGGATCAATTTTTTGCTTTATATAGAGTTTATGAAACCAAATATGGCACCGTTCCTTGCTCTGGCCCTTCCCAACCATCCAAAACATAAGTAAACAGGCCAAGCATTTATCTTCACAAGCTACTAACTTGATTTCAAGGTTTTCAGGTGATTCATCAATAAGGAGAACGCAAAGCGATGTCTCGGAGTAGCAAATGTACCTGAGTTACGACTTCACCAAGGGCATGGACGACGATGAGATAAACAACCTCGACCTCCTTGCATGGTGGAAACAACAAAGCTCGAAGCATCCAACTTTGGCGGCAATGGCACAAGACATTCTTGGTATCCAAGTCTCCTCCGTTGCCTCCGAACGAGCTTTGAGCGTATATGGGAGGGTTTTAGACGATAGAAGAACAAGTCTAAAACCCGAAACACTTGAAATGTGCGTGTGTTTCAAAGGTTGGTTGGATGCTGAAAATCGCTCACAAGACCGTACTTACGATGACAACGACAACGATGAAGGAACCTCCGCTTCCGACCGTTCGGGTTCGGGTAGTTCCCTATCTATTCAACTAGCCGATGACCTTGAAGGCGAAGACGAAGAGAATAGATGAAGATCGAATAGACAATTTTTGTATATTGTACGATTTTTATCATTATCCAATTTTTGTTTAATATCCTTGTACGATTTTTATCATTATCCAATTTTTGTTTAATATCCTTGTACGATTTTTATCATTATTATTATCATTGTACAATTTTTTCGAGTAATAATAATATGAAGTATGCATTATTCACATCCAAAGTCCAATTTGCCTTTTTTCCCGTTAAGTTATAATTTGTAAATTAATATAACAAAAAAAAATTATAATGATTAACAATTAATAATACAAAAATAAATATAATAAATTATAAACATTAAACAATAAAGTAATAGTATAAACTAAATATAAATATAAATATCAACTATAATAAATGATAAAACATAAATAATAAACTTAATTTATTTTAGAAAAATAATAGTATAAAGTACAAACATTAAAAAAAAAAAAAAAAAACAAAGAAGCAAAGCAAGGCAGCAAAGCGGTGGCGGTACGCAGGCCCACGACAGGCTAGCTCGGCAAGAGCCCGCTCGGCACGTGGGCCGTGCCATGCCGTGGGCTGGCCTGCGATTTAGGGTGGCACGGCACTGACAAGCTATAATCGTATCACCTAATCAAAAGTAATTCCTAAAACCACTAACTAATATAGATAGGGAAGTAGGGTCGAATTCACAGAGAGACGGGTCTTTCTATTCCTACTTAATTAATATAATCTAAATTATCAAGTAACCAAGTTGTTTAAAAGAATGTTGAACTAAATCTAATCTAAACAAATTAAATAGGAGAAGGAACAATGATAAAAGGACTAGGGTATAGGTTCACCATTAAATAATATTTCAGGGTAAAACATAACAATCAATTATCAATGCATAAATTAATCAGATCATAAAGGGCTTTCGCTACGTATTACAATCACAGAATTGAACTACCGGTATTAAATCGCATCTCTCGAATCTTGACCTAACCATTTATAAATTAATCCGCCAATTGAAACTAAGCCAAAACATCAATTCTCATCTCTCGAATCTCGAATCAATATTGCATAACTCATACAATTAAACCAGGCCTAATCTAATTGCATAGCAGTAAAACAATCAATAGGAAATTAATCAAGAACATTAATAATTAACAATGATAAATTACCCCTTCATATTATTCATGGATCCCTATAAACCCTAAAATTAAACTACTCACACATAATTAAATCAACACTAACGAAATAAATCAAACAAGACATAATTGATCAAGAATATAATAACTAAAATTGAAAGAGAAGAATTTGTTACCAAAGTTGATGAATCAAAAGAATCAATAAAAATCGCTAAAAGTAAAACTCTCTAATCGCCCCTAATCGTGCTTACAAAAAATCCAAAAGTAAAAGTTTTTATTAAAAACTAAAACAAAAACTAATTAAATACTGCAGAAACACGCGCTCGGGCGGAGCATCACCCGGCCGGGCGCGCCTTTTTGTCTCTAATACAATATCCGCGCCCGGTCGGGCGCGTCTTCGGGCGAAGCATCGCCCAGCCGGGCGAGCTCAAGACCTCTTGGGCCGAATCTCTTTGGCCCAAATTCCAACGCCAAGCCCTTGATTGCCGATTTGATGAATCCAACCGACCTCGGGCTTTGAAATACGGTCATACTCTCCAACGCTCGTAGTGGTCTATCAAAAGTCCGGGAAAAAGCTGCAAATCTGCAATTTCCTACAAAACAATACCAAAACTACGAAAACACTGGGAATTGCATATTAGCAATAAAGTGACTCTGAAGAGCCAGTAATATTCCTAAAAATGGACAAGGGACGGGGAAGAAATATATATATATCTGAAGAGCCCGCTCGGCACGTGGGCCGTGCCATGCTGTGGGCTGGCCTGCGATTTAGGGTGGCACGGCACGCATCTTCAGGCATGGTGGCACGACACGGCCCGACACGCCATAGACTA